CGGGCCCGAAGGCAGCTTCAGCTGGAGGTCCAAAATGAGGGCTGCTGACGTCATCGCTACAGTACCCCCACTGATTTGATTTTTTTTTCTGTTGCCACGTGGCGTCGTCTGGGCTCTCCGATATTATTTTTTCCTCCAATCCAACGGCAACCAATTTTTTTGCAATAAAATACTGAAAAAAATTCGAAATTTTTTTAAAAAAAATACCCAAAATTAATGAATTTTTTTTCTATAAATACCAGCCTTTTTTTTTTAAATTTATCTGAAATTTGAAATTGAAAATTTTATCCGATTATGAGATATGAATAGTATTGACACGTAGGAACTCGAAAATCTTATTAGAAAATATTATCTAAATTAATTATTGTGGTAAAAAAAGTTGTGAAAAAAATAAAAAAATAAATAGTAATTGCCCTTTGCCATGACAACAGGTGAAAACGGAAAATACTATTTGCAAGGGCAACTACTATTCACATAAATAGTAGCTACCCTAGCTCTCCCCTTGCCATGACTAAGGGCAAATGGGTGAAGTTGCTCTTTAATTTTCAATTCAAACAAAAATTTACTAATATGGGTAGGTATCCACGTGTACAGTTGGGGGCATGCAGTATCATCAGGATCAATACACCAGTCTACCCAACATATAGTTGCATACAGAGCACATGCATCATTGATGATATTTGACCGCATTCAATGGGTGGCAAGGAAGCAAAGTCTTAGCTTCCTACTCTTCCCACCTTGCTTCGCATTTCGGCATACACAACAGATTTACATGTAAATTGCCTCCTAATTTCACGCCTTGGTCAGTCTGGTGAACTTCATCAACCCTCAACTTGCTCCACAAACTTTCGCCAACCTCTATTATGTCATGATGTTCTCCCTCCATTTAATTTAGTTTTGGACGGTAATTTTCCCTCTACATTGAGCCCAGCGCGGCTTAGTACCCGTTTGGCATTGCTTATTTGGGGTGATAAGTGATTTTTAAAAATTTTTGGGAAGCCTAACCCGTTTGGTAAATTATGAGAAAATCACTTATTATTAAAAATTGTTGTGGGAGAAAGCAATAAAGGAAAGCTGCTAATGAGCTGCTTTCAATTTCTGATTATATGATAATCAGATTTGAGGAGGCGCTAGGTTTAATGAAAATTACAAAATTCCGAAAATACCCCAATATGATTTCAGGTTCTCCTCTTCGAGCGTCTTCTCCTTCCCACGCCACAGAGCACTCATCTCCTTCTCTTCCATTCTTCCTCCATTTTTTTTCTTGTTGGATCAATTGAAGTGGTTGTACTCGCAACTGTTATGCCAAAGGAGCCTGGGAGCTTTAAACATTATTGTGAACTGGTATTCTAATGGTGCCTTGGTCAACTGTTTTTTAATTTTTCGCTTTCCAACTGAAGTGTTCTTCATGGCGTGAACTGAACTTAATTTGTTGCTTTCCAACTGTTTGGTATGCACACAGCTTCTGAACTTAAAGCAATGCAAGAGCGCCTGGAGTCTTCTCGACTCAAGACTTGCACACAGATTTTTATGTACTATTTATTATTGATAGCACCTAAATAATGATTTAACAATTTTAACGTAATACTTTATTTATTTTATGATTAAAATAATTTTTAGGTGTTAAGGTTAGAAAACATATTAAATACAAGAATTATATAAGTGAAAGTGAAAATAAAATTGCTTTTCTTTTTACCAAACAATTGAATAGAAAAGAAATTTCAACATATGCCCTTTTTAGTCATTAGAAATAGCTCACAGCACTTTTACACAAAATTTACCAAACACTCATAAACTGATTATTTTACCAACAGCACTTTTAACAAAAAATTTACCAAACGTCAAACTGCTTTCTCTCACAGCTGATTTCTCTCACAGCAAATATGACAGTGATTATTTTCACAGCACAGCAATGCCAAACTGGCCCTTAGTCTCTAATGGGGTACGTAAGAAGGATAAAAAATCGAACGAGGCTGAATTCGCGAAGTTACATGTTACAACGAGTTACACATCAATCGATAGTTCACAATTTTATGCATCTCACAGATCCTACAAAATTAAATAACAGCATTAGCTTCCGTAAAGAATTTTTTATTCTTTCAAATTATTGATTCTTGGCGTTCAGCTTACGTACACCAAATCAATGCACAAAGAAAAGCTCTAGAAGCCAATTTTCTTTCTTCATTTCGTCAAAGTGATTAGAAATCCTCACCCTTGTGCTGGTGCTATTGAGGAAACAGTTAATCATATAGGCAAATCCGGTTGAGCACAGAAATTATTGTGGGGCCCAAGTGAAAGCGAGAGTCCTTAATGATTTCAACATCTTTGAATAAAATTTGGCTCTTTAATTAAACAGGTACCAATTCAAATGGACTTCAGCTAACCTTGACAATTAGAATTTAAATCAAGGGTTCATCCAAGCATTGATAAGGTTTGAAAAATTCACCCAAATTGCCTGACATGGCAGCATCAAACACCTAATCAACATGTCAAATATAATGACAAGGAATTGATTAAGCAAATGACATGTTTATTATTAATGACATCAACAGCTTCTGCATTTCAATTCATCTTGCTTTATTACTCTTACCATTGTAGTTTAAATTTTGGAAATGTATCTTATACATGTAGCAACTGATTTGAAAAAGAAAATACACAAATGAACTCCCACCATTTTGTACCATCTTGATGGATCAAACTCATGTCTTGAAAAGAGAGGGAAGCAAGCAAACAGATGACTTAATAAAAATATAAAAAGTGCCCAAATGGTGGGAATTTATTTGGGTTTGGGGCTCCCCTCCCATAAAATGTCCACCCAATTACATATATGTTCCATTTGGTTCTTGGAAGATATGGTCAAGAGAGGAAAATAAATAAATAAAAGAGACCCTTGGCAAGTGGTGAAGAAGAATGAGACCAAATCAGTCTTTAGGGTTAGAAATAATATCCCAATAGATAGGAAGTTAAGCTTTGTCTAGTCCATGAAAGAGTGGAAACAATACAATACTTGAACAATGAAGTTATGGTTCCCCATATCTTCTCCAACTCCAACTCATCCTCATTATGCTTTAATTTTTCTTCTGATGAATTTGAGATATAATAAAGACATTCCCAACCCAAACAATTTGTTTTTCACACAACAAAATACAATTAAGTATCCCTTTGTGTGTGCGTGCATGAGCATACACTATATAAATACATACTTTTTTTTAAATACGTGCAATAGTCTAAACTATAAGAGAAGGGATTTCACACACTATCAAGGTGTCATGGGAGTTCAAACTTGAGACCACCACTAGTCTACAAGCCAAGCCCTTTTCCGCTGGGATCTCCCAGCGGCAAATCAAACTATCCTATTAATGAGCAACAATGCCAACAAAAATGTCAAATCCCATATTCTTGAAATTTGAAAAGGCCATAAATGCATACAAAACAATTGCATCCATGTCACAGAGTCACAGCACATGCATAAGATGAAAGAAGACAAGAAGCTCCTCCTAGCAGAAATATTATATTAGAGATTGTGGGTTTCTTTCTTCACCCTCTATAAAAAGAAGCACATAGACATAATATTGTGAATCATACAATACAACCCATAATATAATGAGAGTGATAGTTGAAGAAAGCCATGTCCTTCAATAAAGGGGGGCCTCCAAAGGCTCCAAGGGAAAAGCAAAAAAGAAATTTTTTAATAATATTAAAGGCTATATCAAATACAAACAAACAAAAAAAAGCCACACAAAAGAGAGAAAAGAAGAAACCATTACATTACATATAGAAAATGCTATTGGTATGGCTCTGTGGTGTTTTCTCAACCTCTATAACATCAGAAAATTATGAGCTTTAGCTGCTTAGCTTAGCAATTAAGCCTACTAAGAGTCATTCATGCTTAGCTTTGTATGAAATATTATATCATAGGCTTCATTAAGAAAGTAGATTAAGCATGTAATTAATATAATATCTACTGAAAACTTGAACCTGGTGTATAAATGGCAAGGTCAGGCCACCCATTGCCCCCATTCCAACAGCTTGAAGAATCACCATTTTGCAAACCCATATAGCTTTCCGGGTTACCATTGCTCTGGGCCTCCAAACCCGGGTTCACACCCGGATCCGAATTCAACCCATTACCTGAATCCAAGTTCACCCCAAAATCACCCATTTGCATCAGTTTTAGACCCGACCCATTTGGGTTCAGACCCTCCAGAAGAGACCCAAACTGCCCATTTGAAGTCAGGAGTGAGCTGAAGCTCCCTGAAATGTCCAGCACCCCACGGTCTTGATCGATTTTCGGGCCATAGACCCGGGTCCGGTCAGGCTGTGGATCCGGGTTCTGAGCTGCTGCGGTTGCTGCTGATGAGCTTGACACTGATGATGAGGAAGTTGATGAGGAGCGTTTTGAAGCAGATGATGATGATCTCTTTGTGTTCTTTCTGCTTCCACCACCAACGGGGATGTTTCTCAGGGAGCCACCTTTGGTCCAGTACCTTCTGCAGTTCTTGCAAAAGTGACGAGGCTGTGAGAGATTGTAGTTGTTGTAGTAGCAAAACTTGGTGTTAGGGGAATCACATCGTGGACATTTCAGCTGTTCTTGCTCTGGAAATTGGGGTTTCATGGGTTGAAATGTTGTTGGGTCTTGCATTTTTTGAGGCCTCAAATAAGTTTCTATTTTGGACCAAAGTTGTGGGGCTATGGAGGATTTGGTGACGTGGGTTTGATTTTTTAGAGAAGAATATGGAGTTTGTGGTAAGAAACTGGATTGTGAAGTCTGACTTGAGACCAAAAGAGCCTGACTTCTGAGGAGTTTTCTTTGATGAAGTGTGAATAGGAGGAAATAAAAAGAGGCAAACTTTAAAAACCAGAGTGGTTTTGAGGGTTTGGACAATAGATTGTAGGAACTGAAAACCAGAAATTTATTTGGGGATCTGAAATGGGGTTTTCAGGGCCATGATAGGCTTTGAGCCTTTGAGACTGTCAAGAGGCAAAAGAAAGAGCAAAAAACCAAAAAGAGACAAAAAGGCAGGATATTTTTCAGACCCAGATATGAGCTTCCATGAAAACAAACAAATAGCACATAACCATCAAATCTTCCTCCAAACCAAAACTTACCAAGTTTTCAACTTTCAATCAGTGAAGAGAAGAGAGTGAGAGCAACCATGCTCAAAAAACAAGGCAGATAACCAAAACCAAAACCAGAGTAAAAGATTGATTTTTGCTTGCTTTATAGTTGAAATTCTTCAGAAAACTCCAGAGAAAAAAAAAACACAGATTTTTCAACTGGGATTTGTTCTCCTGAGGTGCTGCATCAAAGGGTTGAAAGATGGAGAAGAAGGAGAAGAAGGAGAAGGAATATTTGGTCTGATTTTTTTTTCTTCTTTACGGAGATGATCTATCTGTGTGACCGCGTGAGAGTGACGACCAGGCCTCAAATAGAGAGACAGAGACACTGCTCTCTCTCACTCGCACACAGTGGGCATATTGAAATTAGCTAAAGCTACTTCTTTCTAGATAGCCCCACAGCTTCCACTAATCACATAGTTAATTAAAAAGTAATTATTTTTCGAATAGAATAATAATCCTCTAAGAAGAAGCATAGCCAAAACTGGTTTTGTCAATGACTTAGAATATTTTTATTGAGAACATTGCTTAACAAAAGTCAACCTCCATGATTACAATGCTCTCATTAACCTTAAATAAATAAATTAAGAAGTCGACATGATTAGCCACACACCCAAAAAAAAAAAAAAATTGTAGTTTATAAATTGTTAGTACAAGTAAAGATTGACAACCTCAAAGTTTTAATATTCTCTATTTTTATTATTATTATTTGTGTCTACGAACTGGTTGAAGATTACTTCGTTAAGCGCACAAAATTATGTACGGATGATCTGAGAGAAAGTATTAAATGTTTGAATTAAATTATAAATTAAGCTAACTCCTACTCTAAATATGTAGATTAGGGGAATTGTTGTCTCCTTTTAACAACAAATTTATATCATATTATTTAACAAAAAGTATTTCGTTGTATTTATATCTTGACCGTTTTGTTTTAACCATGTATAATCTTCTATTTTGTCCTCAAGTTGGGCGAGAGCTACAGATCAGAGATCTAATTAGGCGAATGTTGCTTATAATTAAGCCAAGCCGAACCGATGAGCCTGAGCCGCCAGGCCGAGTAGAAGAGGCTAAGCCGACGAGGCTGCAATCAAGTTTGCGTGCAAACAAAGCAAGCACCGGGGTGAGAGCATCATTGGATTGGCATTTTAACAGTAAAATCCTTGCCGCCAGGTCTTTGTGGTGGCAGCATCAGGACTGTCCAAGTGTTGACTAACTGTGTGATGAAATGTTAGCCAGACAAGTTGTCCTAGCTAGAGTAGACTAGGTGACTAGATGGTGGGTTACAACTTTAGAGAAATTTCATCAATCAATCCAAGGAGCAAATATCAACTAATACTATACTCCTGTTTGTTCAGTGAAATCTAATATCAAGCTTGGCTCTTCCGTTTTGCGTCACTCAATTCAAACATGTTGACAAAATATATTACCGGGTGATTATAGATCTCAGTAGTATGCTCTGATAACACATTAGATAATAGCGAGATCAAAAGTTTTTCGGGCGGCTGAATTATTTTGTATAATCAGTTGTTATGTTTTAGTGAACTTATCGTTGTCGAGCTGAGGTACGCTAATTTTCATTAGTGGGATAAGTTTTTGAAAAATTAACACCAAATTGCTATATTTCAAAAACATTTCATTGGGTTGGAACCCGCCCTAATAGTGCATATTTTCTCGAGACATGGCAAATTTCACTTGGAGGTCAATATTTTGTTGGACTATTGGTCGAGAAAAACTCCTCTGCTTTCCTTAACTTTTAATTCGTATTGAGAAAGTATATCTGTATTTGCTTAACTCATAATCATCCCAAATTTAGATTAGACTCGGATTGATTAGAATTCCTCCAATTCAACCAAACCCCACTCTGACAAGAAAACAATTTGTGAAAGCTTCCTCTCACCAAGGAAAAATATGGGGACCCAAAACCTTGTTGTATTGGAAATGGCTTATGCTGCGCGTTTTGACTGATGAGCGTGGGTTGTTAAATATATGGACCCACCGACGCAACCTAGAAAGCGACGGCTCTGATCGTTTGACTGTGTTGAAAGTGTGAACAGGCATCATAGCCGATCATTGGTCATAAGCCCACCTTTGCCATTTGTGCGTGACTTTAATCATGCACTGTCGACCAACTCTTAAGCTAAGACTAAATACATCCCTCTCAATCCAGTGCAATCCAATCCAATGTAATTCAATTCAATTCAATTCAATTTCGTCCGTCGGCAGACAAATTTATATATCACGAAATAATATTATTTTGTTATTCTTAACTAATCACGCTATGCTATCCGTCACATGCAAATCCTTATCGTCGGTCGGCCATAGGCACTGCACACAACTGTACATATTTGATGCATTAAAACTTCAAAGTTGAAGACGGCCTCCGTCCTCGTGCGACAATGCAAGGATTGCCATTAAGGGATATGATTAGCATGGTGGGACACGTGGACAATGCTGATTTTGTTCTTGTTTGTTGGGGTTGCAGGGTTGGGTCCCTTTCAAGGGAGAGGTCTTCATGACATTGCACAGTAATAAATTTGCCAATTTGAATAAGATTTAGGCCAAATTATTCATGTGTTGTGGGTTGTGTGTCAATGTCAGTCATTTCGTTAAAGAAAAACTCTTAATTATGTGGCTAAGTTTGGTATTAATCTCAGTTTAAATTGAACTTTTCATCCAAATTGTATTCAGTGTCGTCCATGGGGCATCATTTGAAGAGTGAAATGTCATTTTTGGACATTAACCCTGTTTGATTTTTAAATCCGGCATGAAATGACTCTTTTACCCCAACAAGTGATGCGCGTATTGGTCCAAGTTGGAGGAAATTCATATAAAAGTTTCAACTTGGACTGAGATTAGTAAGAAACATAAACGCAACTTAATATTAAGATTTTTTTTTCACCACACGAGTAACATTGACATATGATCTACACCACAAGGATGATTTGTGCAGTTTTAGCCTAAGATTTATGTGTTCTTACTTTGCAAATGTTAGACAACTCAATATTTTTCAAATTTTCTTTTTCAAATTTAAGTGACATTCTCCATTTTGGATATCACTTTTCACGTAGAGGAGGAAAGAAAAATTAGAAAAAAGAGTTGGAAAGTTAACCAATTTTCGTTTCTTGCCCATCAAACTTATGAATTTTATAGTTTATCAAAAAATAATAATAATAATTGTAGTCTAAATCACGAATCACGTTAGCTTCTAAAACAGAAATCTAACATGGCTCTAATGTCACAAAACTATATATTTTCAATCATAGCCACATTCTCGTCGCAAAATGAGTAATACATACTCAAATTGAAAAAAATTAGCAAACTACATGAGTGAAATCGTTAAAATAAAATAAATGAGTAATACATATTCAAATTTAAAAAATTAGCAAACTACATTAGTGAAATCGTTAAAATAAAACTACAGAGATGGAAAGTAGAAAATGAGTCAAATGAGGTATATGGAAAATGTAATAAGTTGGCCTTAAAACAAAACAAAAATGGAAGTAAAATAATATTAATAGGTAAATCCATGTGGAGTGAGCATGGAAGCAAGCAAGAGCAAGAGCACGAGAGGGCATGATGGGTTATGAAGAGGTGTAATGGAACTGGTAGGGTCGTAGTGTGATAGGGCATGCATGAGTGATGAGTGAGAGAGGTCGGTGGACTTGCAAGCAAGCAAGCTTGCAACTGTTGGAACACAAAAAGGAAGAAAAAAGTGACTTGATGGTGGGGAGATGAAGATGGTGGGGGGATTGAGACGCGTGTGCATGTTCTCTCCCCTGTCCTTCCAGAGCAGGACACGGCTGGAATGGCGTGCTCTTTAGGCCCCTCCCTCTGGAGAAAAAACACTGATATCTTCATTTAATCACTCTCTGTCATGTGATATTTTCATCACGCATGACGTAACATGATTAGTTTAAGATCATAAACTAGTGTTATTTTCTAGATATACAAAATTTTCTCCTTCCTTCCTCCCTAAACTGAACCCATCAACATCAACTTATATACATTACACACCTGCCGACTTATTCATCCTCACTCACCCTTCTCCCTTCCAATAATACAAAAAGCTTATCAAATTTAAGGGCATGAGTGTTTTGTTTGGTTTAGACCTCAAATTCGTGTGTGAACTTGCGTAATATTACGATTTGAATTGATTCGGTTTGCAGTTCAAAGTAGTAGTATAATAAAATGAAATCGATATAATTCGGTCATTTCATTTTATAATAGTAATGGTGATAACTAATAATAAAATGTCATGTACAAAAAATGGATAGTATAAACGGTTTTCAAATAAACTATGAACCGAAACAAACTAACTGTGATTTGGTTCGATTCGGTTATGTAGTAAATTACACTTTTGTTAGTTTAAAAATGGAACTAAATCGCTAAAATTTGTTTGATCTGACCGGTTTAAAGGGTTCGAGCGATTGTTTAGTTTATTGTTTTTTGGACTCAAGTTTCTTCTAAGATTTGACCAGTGGGGGCACTCAGTCAATTTGTTGTGGGATGTGGACTAATCAGTTACTGGACGAAGAATCCAAGTTGGACTATACTACTACAAGTGGGACAAAACAGAGCAACAAACATTGTCCCTTGGGACTTCCTTCTCTCTCTCTCTCTAGAAGAATTCCCTTTTGGTTCTTTGTTTGGTGGTGTTTCTAATTATGAGCATTTTCTGTAAATTAGTACATCAGCTAGTGGACAATAAATCTCATTATCCAGACAGGTTAACAAACACATCACCTATGTAGCACGGACACTCCATCATGCCGAAGTGTAGGGGTGTCAAAGTGTCGGACACGCGGACACGCCTAGGACAATGAGAGTAGGAACAATTTGTCATGTCTTTTCTACACAAAATCAACTACTCAAGGCTTGTTTGTACACAAGAATTTGTGTATAAATCTTCATTCTACTAGTTTAATATAGCTTGCTTCGATCCTTTTGTTCATTTGTAAACGGTAGACCATGCTGTTTCTTTTCCAATAAAACAGGTTTTCATTTTGATTCTCTCAATAGAACACAACCCACGTTGCATTTAATATAAGGATTGTTGCAAAGGAGGGAGAATCCAGAAAAGTGGAGTTGACATTCTTCACTGTGATTTGAGTATGATCCAGACGATACAAATTGGAGCCTCAATGTTTTTCCATCTACAAATATGCTCCATTATGTGGATTCGATTCTTTGAGTTCATCCCAAACTTAGGCAATGACTGATGATAATGCATTGGGAGAACTATAAACAACTGGATTGTAAACTGCATAAATTCTAGGAAAAATTCTACAACCAGATATCAGAAGCTGCATCTGATTCCATCGGTGCGGGATGATCACTAAGAGTATTTTAATTTCGAAGCAGAACGAAATCATATTGAATTATTTCGGAAGCCATGTCTGGCTGACTCAGAATCTCAGAAAACAAATTTTTTTCATGTAAAGTCAGAATGGTGACTCAGGCCACTTGGATGTACTAATCTCCAAAAGCTAAAACAAATAGATATTTTCCTAAAGAAGTGCCACTCAAACATAGTAGCCTGTAAAGGTGAAACCCCTCCCTATAATCTCACCACCGCAGAACCACGCATAGCACTCAAGTCCAAACAGAGCAGCAAGACCAGCATTCTCCACATTCAGTTCCTGCCTGTTTATTAGTGCATTCTTGAGAGAGTCAGCTTCCTTCCAGAATGCTTCATAACGACCCGGAATGCTGCAGAGAAATTTTGAGAAGGAAGTTATGCAGTAGCGAAAACAAAGCAGGCATTTATGCGTTTTTGCATCTATGCATCAATGATTCAAAGAAGAGAGGGATCTTTAAGTCAACACAGCTTAAAATTGATAAATAGCTAAATCAAATGTCATCCGGTAATCAGTATGATTAAAAATGCAATAAATTATTTCTGGTCTAGTGAACTGAAGATAAACTCCACCGATTATTATCAACAAATAGTGATGTTGGATTTTCATGGAGGATATGACTGCAACATTTTCTAACACGCGCGCGCGCACACAGACACACAGACAGAGTCATTATCCCATAAATCCCAAGATGCCTGTTTTGGCCAAGTGTTTCTTAGCTAGCCACATTTCATACCAAAAACAAAGCCACAAAAGTCCAACCTTGTTGTCGTAAAAGTACAGAGTACCTAAACAAAAGTAGATGAGTAGATATCATATGTTTAAAATTGAATTGGCATAAAAAATGCATGCACATAATATCACAAGCATGTATTTCATATCTGGAAAGTCTATGTTATGTAAGGTTATCACTACTGCCGCTGCATATGGACTGTTACAAGGAAAATAGGTAAAGTGCATATCTGAAAGGCATTAAATGTTGTTATTAGTTGTACAATGTTGAAATTGAACTATGCAATGCAACTCATTTTGGATAGACTTAAAGAGAAGTGTCCAGATAATGGAATGCAACATCCAGAGTGAATTGAAACACAACGGAAAGAATGAACGATGCAGCCTCAAAATCAAAATGTGACAATCTCACAAAAATTAGCACAAGATTCAATTCAGCATTCCTGAATCCTATCAAAGATTGGAACAAGAATTTTACACTCGTATGCACCTTCTATGAAAGCACTGTACTGCCTTAAGTTAAAAGATGGGAAAGACAATACCTGGCGAGACGAGTATAGAACAGTTGTTTTGCTAAAGTTTGACATTTCTCAATGGTGGGTGGCTCCTGGATATGGTGCTTGTTCTGCTCTACCAACTGCTTGTAATAGATATTTCCATTCTTGATTAGAAAGTTCGATGCCTGAACCACCTTCTGCAACGAAGATACCTTTGAAGCCATGGACTCCCTAAACGAACCTGAAAATAAAAATGATGCATTCAAGCAACAGAAAAATGTATTCAACAAACATCCTCATCTTCTCAGATGCAAGAAAAAAGAGAGGAGAAATTCGGATATTGTCTTGCTAACTAAAGACTGGAAAAAGGCATATTATTCCAAAAACAATTACTCATGGAAACATATTATACTAGGACATTTCACATACACGAGGCGTTCATGCTTGTGCACGCCAAGTCGTTGAGGAGAATGCAAAAACAATTGCAACAAATGGTAACAATAAAATCTGAATGGTTACAGAAATTCAAACAGACAAACTTCTCCAAGAAAAACATAAAGATTAGTCTACCGGTTAAAATATTTCCTGCGTTTAAAAGGGTTCATTTCATGCGCCTTTTAGTCGGTAACAGAAGCTCACACTTGTTTTGAACACCATCATATCAACAATGAATAAGAACCCAGTCCAGCAATCAAAGGTCAGACAACATTACATGAATGAAATATTGCTAAAGCACATAAATTGACCACAGATTTTTACACATTAACCAAACTACACAACCCACATTGTTCCAAAAGCCACTTCAACTCAGTCAACATTATAAAGGGTCATTCTCACAAAATAACAAGTAATAAAAAAACATGAATTCAACTCCGAAAATAAAGAAGCAAATGGGCTTGGTTGGTTGCCGAGAAAATGCGGGAAACAAAGAAGAGAAGTAAGTTGAAAACTGAAAACTTTACGCATTCCATTGTTTAGAGCTGATGGCAAAACAATGGTTCCCCTCATTTTATTGGCAACCAACCAAAGTAATAGGACTTCCAAAAAGCTTTGATCATAGTTTTAGAGATTAAAATTATAAAAAAGAAAGCAGATATGCACACATTCAGAAAGAAAATTGATAAAACACCTCGAAATTTCTTTGGGATTTTGAGTGAAACAGAAGCCCTAAACACCAGAGGGAGTTGCTGTTGCTGATCACTTCGCTGGTATTTCGAGATTTATAGGGTATTTAAATTCGTCCTTTTATTTTGCCCTTTTGCAGAAATGAACACGTGGCAAAAGAAGAAGCTTTCTATTTTCCTTTTCAAGAAGTACCCAGTCAATGAGAGGAGAGTTACGTTACTATCGCCAAGGAACACCAAATGATCCCATCCTTTATTATTTTAATTATAATTTTATCATCTTTTAAAATATGTTTTTGTTTTTTCATAAGAATATTAAGGTTGTCATGTGCCTAATGGGTTGAGTCTTGCATCCAACTCAAAAACCTAAGATTAAGATTATATTTTTGACTAGTCACATGATGAGAGAGAAGGTCCCCTCCACCACGGGGAGCTACAATGGATTCAAAAATCAAAACTTAAAACCATTTGAGCCCTTATAACTAACTAAACCCACACTCTTAGTTGAATAACAGAATAAGGGATCATTTCAATCTCTACAAGCCTCTTGTTAATTTTTCACTTTAGGCAAGACAAACTAAAGGGTTGCTTTTGACTGAACCCATCTGTGCACAAGTTTTCAGTTGAATTAGGTGACAAGTGAAAAATCACCTTTTCAAATTCTTTTCATCTTTTGGTTCTCCCTTCCCTCTCATAACAGAGGTATTAGCAGAGATTAATTTTGTAGTTGCTAGCTTCTACTAATTGGGTTCAAATTCCTGCAACAGCGACTATTTTCGGTCCTCGAACCAACGAATCATGCAACGGTTTCACAAAATTTCTCACCAGGCTACTGGTAAGTATGAATTCAGTCAGCGAATGACCAGCCAAACTCACCTCTCCCAGTGCTGAGTTTAGCCACACCAGATCTCCGGACAGTTGACAGTGAAGAGTGAAAGACTCAGACTCATGATAAAAAGTGAAGATAAACCTCTTCCAAAAGAGAGAACATCCTTAAAGAAATTTCAACCATGACAAAGAATCAATAAAAAAATGAAGAACTGCAAGTTTCAACAGCTCTATCCCACCAAGATTTTTTGAGTAAGAAAACTACATTTTATCTTAAACCTAGTGGCAAATATTGAACATCCTTTTAGTATTTGTTGTAGGAGAGCTACAATCACATTTTCTTCTCCACGTCAACCCAACACAATTCTAAGACATAACCCCACATCTTCTATTTTAAAGAAGATGCAGGAGAAAAAGAAAACAAAAGAAAGAAGAAAAGAAAAAAGGAAAGGGTTAGGACGAGGGGGAAGAAAAAGCAGACGCTGCCCACCCGGGAACAAAATCAGGTTGCTTCCTTGTGGATTCTGTGGCAGCCACTTCTGGACCGTGAGAATAAAACCATGTTCAACGGGTTCAAGGGGCACCTTGAAATGTGAGAGAATTGTTGTGGCCTCCAATTGACTGGTTGGTGGGAAAGGAAGAGAAACCTTCTCCAGCAGCAACCCAAAAAAGCTAACCAAGAAAATACATTTCTCCTTGGACCATCTTTATGCATAGTACATGTACAAGCTGTTAGCAGCAGCACAGGCTATTGAGTTTTCAGTTGGATGCCATGCTAAGTGCAGCAACTTTGTCGTGAAATCAAAACAATTTCCATTTGCATCAACCCCAGGGTTTTCTGCTCCTGTGATAGATTTTGTCAAGGTAGATAAATAATAATGTTTTGAGTAAAAATACTTTAAAAGGGAAAGGCTAACAAGCCAAGAAAGCTCAAATCAATTCAATGGTAAATGGCAAAGAGAAAGCAATTACCTCGTCTGACAACTCGTGTTATACTACTGCTCAGGGACCTGGAAGGCCTAGAAGGAGTCGGAACTTGTCGCCTAAAACAGCACATAAATAATTACATTATCACCAAACTTATCCATAAAAATGAACCGCTAAGTCAAAGATTCCTGATGTCTTTCAGTCAAAATTACCTCATTGGATTTTTGCTGGCCTCCAAAGTTGTTGCTTCAGTGCTACCAGTTCCACAACCAAATACACGGAATAGATTGCTGGGATCACATTAACAACATATTAACACAAATCCCAAAGAATTTTGATCAGAACGACACAGAAAATAGGTACAAGGCAGCAAAACAAACCTGTAAGAACCTGTTGCTACTCGCAAGCCATCACCGCTCAGACAACACTCGAATTTATCGAAGATAGAATCATTTTCATATAAATCACACAGCTGGACACATTTAAACAGGATAATCAGGCTTCAGTCCAACAAATTAGGCACAAGTTACATGTTCACCTTTTATTTGAAGAATGGAATCTCACCTTAGGTCTTAAATATTCATGAACCTGGAAGGTTGTGACGGGACCTGAATCCATATTGATGTCCCATAACTGAAAAATATGTGACACAAGTTAGATACGAAAGCAGGGAGATAAGATCCCAACCTCACGCCACATTGGCGGAGCAAGACATTAAGCTTGAGCAGTTAGCATTTGACATAAATAACACAACTTCGCAATCAGATATCATGCAGAAGTAGCTACTCAAACCATTTAAAGGAACCATCTCTCTTCAAATGATGAAGGAAACCCAAAGACAGGTTTTGAAATTTGAACCCCCCAAAAAAAGGCAGGCTTCAAAAGTCTAGTTCCCCATAAAAAATCATCAATTTTTTTTGGGAGAAGGTGGGAGACAAATAATATCTGCATCACTTTCCGATCACGTCCAAGAGTTTTCATCTGTATGGATAATGCAAACGGTGGGAAGATGTAGTCTTGAGTGAGCTTGTACATAATCACATTAATAATCCTTAAAAAGTCTTTGACATTTCATTTCTTTTTTAACAATTCATGAATGTTGTGTTAACAACCTTTCATCCCAGAACAAAGTTAGAAGACCTGCAAAAAAGAGCCTCACCTCTTTGGTTTCTTACATAAGATTACTAACATTTATGCATATTTAAATCAAGTAAAAAAATCAACCAAAATAAACAAACCTTAAGTGTCATGTAATCACGGCTAAGTATATATCTTCCATCCTTTCCAAACTTAATATCTGAGATTGAAGCAATAATCTCTGTGAAGAATGATCTAGCACCAGGCGCTTCCTGTTCCTCAAACCTGCACACAAGATATTTGAACCAACAAATTTTGTAACATAAGTGATATGCTAATAACATATTGAGATCTACTAATAATTGGAGAAAAAAAAAAAGGTGCAGTTTTTCATCTTTTCCCCCCATTTAGTAATCTATAAGACATGGTAACCAAAACATATCATTCTTCTCTCCAGTTTTCACTTAACAACATCCTTATTATATTCTGTGCCTTTCTTTTTCATGGTCAGCAGACTACAAGAAGATTACGGTAAAGTAACAAGGAAAATGCTTACAATTTAGCATGAGAATCACACAAAGCAGACTGCCGCAAATCAATGAGTCGAATCGAGCCTTTGGAACTGCTATAGGCTAACGTATTGCAATGGGTAGGGTGGAACTCTGCGGATGTTATGACCTCTACAATAATACAAAATGTTATTATTAAACAATTTGAAGCCATTCATCAGAGGCAAACAAACAAACCAAAACAGAAATCACTAGTATGTTGTAAATAGGTTCCTTCAAAATTCATAAACCAGACCCGATTAATTGTACACGGATAGGCTGGCTGTATGAGGTAAGGTATATAAAATTTTCCTTTAGATCTTGTTCTTTTCCTTTTCAGTCCAAATTGCAACTAATCATGGCTAAGTTGTGATCAACTGGCAAGTTCTCAAAAGCCTTCAGCCAGAAGCACGAAAATGCAATGGTGTGACTGCACACACTTTCAATAATATGAACTTCAACTCCAAGCACCAGAAATACTTTTTAACTCAAAAAACAGTTACCACTAAAACTGTTCTTAACTTAAATGTAAAACAGGAAGGAAAAAAACCCGAATAGCTTACCGGTTAAATCTTCCATGTTTGCAGGCTTCACATCCACAATATTGAAACTTTGATTGCTAATTTCCAAGTTCCAAAGATTTATTCGCAGATCATCAGCCGATATAAAAGTTTCGCCATCACTAAGAAAAATGCAAAAGAGAGTTGATATACTTTGAAGAAGGATGCCAAAGGTAGTCAAACAAAGTTTCATAATTAAGAGATGTGAAAAAACAAATATTATGGTTTTCATTGATGTTTTCAAGAACATAGAAAACTCTAGAGT